TTGCCCTATAAACTAAAGGGGAATTTGCAGCAGTTAACTGTACCTGGCTGATTTTCAAAAAAATAAGCAGGGTCATACCAGATGAGTACTTGGAGGTGCCCATTTAGAAATCATTGTACTTGAAACTGAAGACAATCTGGAAGAATGCAATGGAAAAACATTCTAATATGTTGCCAAATAAACTATGTAGACCCCAGGAATCATGCTGAAGGGAAACATTATCTTTTCTAGATGGCAGGTGATGCCTAGAAACTTTACTGTATGAACCAAGCTTATAAGTCACCCCTTTGAATTAAAGTTTTAATCCTGACATTTCTAGGCACATCTGTAACATAATTTGCCTGGAGTCTAAGCCTTAATTATGGAAGTATAACTGAATCCCATGGAGTTGTTGCAATGGTAGCATTTCTCATTTGCCCATCCTGAACGACAGACACGATTAGAGGGAGGGAAAAAAGAAGCTGAAAAATCACAGAGAAACAGCCAAGTGGTATACAATTGTTTTCTCACTCAGCTAGTCCAGAAGCATAGGAGCAATGTGATTTTAAATGAACCTCTTAGCCTCTTCATAAATAGATACTTAAAGGAGTCCAATCCTGAATAAAATAATAAACTAAGGAATCAGCATGATTAGAAAGCCTAATATAAATTGGGCAAGACAGATGGAAGGAATGAACTCGGAGCTTCTCACAAAGGAAACGTTGCCTCTTTCCTGCAACTATAACCAAAATGGTACATGACTCATTCATCTTCTACTCTTATAAACATATTCTATAAACTAAAGGCAAGAAAACAATGCACAATGCTTAGAATCCAGGAACCATATGCTCTTCCTTTAATTCCTGATGTACCATGCCAAGACATAACCTTGCTGTATTACAAAGGGAAGGACCCAAATAGAGGCATGGCTTTGTCACTGGCCATTTTTGCAGCCAGCGTGAAATCAGGCCCATCAGCATCCCCAAGAAAGTACATCAACTGTTTTATGTCCAATTTCTAACTCAAATAAATGTAATGTAATCTGATGCTTTATAAATCATATTAAGTAGAGGTAGTCCTCAAGTAATGATCATTAATTTAGCAACCATTCAAAGTTATGGCAGGGCTGAATGAATGGTACTTATGTCCTATCACCAAAGTTGTAGCTGTTGCAGCCCCCCATAACCCACAAAATTCAGGGGCTTGGCAGCTGACCACACTTATAACAACAGCCGTGCTTCAATTCCCTGCACCTGCCTATCTATCCCCATTTTTTCAATACCACTGTATTTTTGAATGCTCGCTGAGTGAATGGATGTAAGCCAAAACTATTTGTATTTCATAGTTGGAATATACACGGATTCTAGGAGTATAAACAAGTTGCTTTTTAACCAGTTTGTTATGCTTGGAAGCAACTTTATTCCCCAAATATTAAGCCATCAGTAAATATTTATGAAATATGGATAAAGAATGGAATAATTATGTTCTTTTTTATAATAATTTTGTGAAACATTACAATTAAAAATTTAAAAAATAGTGAAGAAAGAACAAAAAAGAAATACATAGAGGAATGTGTTTATATAGTTAAGGTTTTCTCTTTATAGAGGAACTTCTGGCAAAGAATATGGAGAACTGAAGATAACCACAGTGGAATGAGGAGCCAATGAATGGACCAACTCTTTACAGTTCTTCTCTAGGCAAAGAGAGAACTGGGATCACCCACATTAATCCAAACAGTTGTTCCTTACAACAGAGGCCCCAAACGTTTTGGGCACCAGGGACCAGTTCCATGGAGAGAGGTTTTTCTGTGGACCAGAGGGGGCGTGGTTTCACGTGCTTCCTGCATCCTGCGGCTTTGTTTGCGCAGACCAGTTTCTGGCATGCTGCAGCTCGGTGATGGTCCATGGACTGGGGGTTGGGGACTCCTGCCTGACAAGCAGACTACAAAGCAGAGTTCTAGTTGCAATACTGTTCATTCATCTGCCAGAGTTGGAACTCTGGCAGATGAATGAACAGTATTGCAATCAAAACTGCAATTTGGTGCCTTCAAAAGGATGCTGTATCACAAACTTCCTTTCTTAATGACTTTTGGAAATTGCTTTTTAACTGCTTTTTCCATATTAGGAAGCTTCATAATGACAAGTTTTACCATACTGAGTGTGTTTCCTTCAAAGAAGTTTTATACGGTTTTAAGGAGTTTTTCTTCCTTAATTTTTTTTAATAAACAGCAAAAGGATGATTAGAACATTGATTTTAGAAAGTTACAAACACACTAAGCGACCAAATGTTTTGAAATAAGATTTTGAAACTAATTATAGGAATCCTTCCCATGAGAAAATACTGTTGATTTTAATAGTTAAAAACATGATAAGATGGGGTTTCGAAGGTTCAACACTAGAGGGTAAAGAGATCCAGAAGGAACTAAAGATTACAATTAAAGGAGAAGAGCGCTTGCATTCGACTTACTAATACAAAATAGAACAAAATACTTTAACATTGATTGCACTGAAGGATACTTGTGAACAATGGACCCAGACATTAATTTAAAAAATGTCTGCCATTAGAAGCTGCTATAGAAAAAGAGCAACCTTTGCTGAATAGGACTCAGATTGATCTGAAAGGGGGTTTAAAAATCATTAAGTATGGGAATAATGTGAAAGGAGATGCCACACTGCACATACAGATGAAATCAGTTGATGTCTTACCAAATCAAAACAGTGACCTGGATAATTTTCTTATTTTGGATTTACAAAAGAAGATTCTTAAAGTTTTGAAGAATTTTGTGAGAAGAGACAAAGAAAAAAAAAAGAGAAGAAATCCACTTTTAGGACATTATTTTGGGGGATTAATGATCAAGAATGTTAAAAATAAAGGGGATGAATATAAAGTTGGTTTATGTGATGATCAAGGTTAAAATAAATAAACTGTTATCTCTGGTAACCCTAGTCTTTTGCTGAACAGGACTGAATGATTGATGCCTTAAAGCAGGAGTGTCAAACTGAATTTCACTGAGGGCCGCATCAGCATTGCGGTTGCACTCGGGGGGCCGGGTGGGTGTGGCCAGGGTGAGTGGGCATGGCCTACTGTATGGGCATGGTCAGCCCTACATCGTTCGCGTCAAGGGGGCCTGTGGGGGCCTGGGCAGGAGTGGAACAGATGTGAGGGTCTCTGGCAGAAGGGGGTGGGACCAGGGCAAGTGCCAAGGCATGGTCCACTGGAGGAGCCTCACTGTTCCTCTCAGGCCATGTGGGGGGGGTGGAAGGTGGTGTGGGCTGCCCAGAGCCCTGGACAGCAGAAGTCAAACGCCCAGCCTGGCCCTCGAGCACCCGCAGCACCAAGCCCAGCCCCACTTCCCCAAGGAGGCGCCCAGGCTGCTGCTGCTGTGCTTGCTCTCTTTAGCCAGGTTGCTCATGATGGGTACGAGGGCAAAGTCAGAGGGAGGCCCATTTCCTCTCCATGGGAGGAGACCCGGCTTTGTATCCAAAGCTTCCTTAGCAATAGGATGGGAGACCCCAGGATGGGCCAGGAGGAGTGGGCAAGGGGATGGCAAAAGGGCAGCAGGACTGGACTAAGGCAGACTTCCCTCAGACCCTCCCTCTTCTTCTTTCCCTTCTTCCTTCCTAAGTACAGAGTGGTGGGAAAATATTTGAGATGAGGGAGGGAGAAAAACAGGCAAGAAACGCGGCCAGGGCCAGGGCAGCGGGGACCGTTCCCTCACTGTTTCCAGGAGGGCTTCACAGGCCACATGAAACCACTTCGCGGCCGCATCTGGCCCCCGGGCCTTGTGTTTGACATGTCTGCCTTAAAGATTTGTTTATAGATACCTATATGGTTAAAAAAAATGGAACATATAAGTACTTTTAAAGGAAAGTGAAAAAATACAACAAAGGAAAAAACAAAAAAAGCATTTTAATAGTAAATATTTACAATTCTATATATAGTTATCTATTTTAATTATTATTTAAGCACATATATATTTCTAATACATTTATTTTATTATATTTGTCCATACAAAGTCTATATCTATAATCTGCAATCTATAAAGTGCAATCAGCCCTCATCGAATAAAAGGGACCGTACATTTATCTTTCCAAAATGCAAAATCAATATTTTGGCATAAGAGTACGTAGAATTCATTTACATTATCTGATTGTTAAATCCAAAGTACTAGTTATGTAGTTCCCAAGAGTATTATCATCATCTCAAAACTGTATCTTTTGTTGCAGTTATGTTTATATAACCCAATATTTTCTCTCAAAACTTAGTAATTTTAAGACATTGTATGAATGTGCATTTTAAAGAAACAGCATTCTTTTTCATCTCCAACAAAATGCTGGTTTTGACAATCCTTTTCTATAGCAATGTAGTGGAGTCCAATAAATTCTAAATATTATTTTTTGTTGTGTAAGTCATGATCTGAGATTTGACATTTTTTCTATAGGTTAAAATATTCTCCCATTTTCTAGGCAATACAGGAACCATTAATTCTTTATTCTACTCATTTCTTAGGATCTGTATATCAAATTAATTTATTGATAACAAATATCAATAAAAACTAATAGTGGATTTTTTTAGTTTTAATGGATTTAACAAGCTGTTCTATTATCTCAGTGTCTTAAGAGCTGAAAATGCTGCTGATCTAAACAATGTTGTTCTGTCTGTAAATATTGCTACTGGGTTACATCTAGTAGATGATACTTGTCTCTTAACACTATACATTTAAAGTAAACCAGAAGACTATTATTATTATTCATTTATAATACAACAACAAACCTATGTTTTAATATTAGTAAAATTTAAATTGGTTATAAATTATCTGGGACAAAGTAATATACAAATATTAATGGTAACATACAAATGTGCAAAGTTTTCAAAAATGTTTTTGCATTCTGTTATACATGTAGTTTATACAGACTTTCAGCATTCATTCTCTAGAAATCATAAAATAATCTCAACTAGTACTACACTTTGAGTTCTTTTTACTTAATGAAAGATTTTAAGCAATATACAAATAAATATACCTTAATAAATCCTCCATGTCCATGGCTCATTGGAATATGTTTCAGGCTGACTGTGAGCCTTGGATGATAAACCTATAGATAATAATGACATAAAACAAGCAGTTGTCATGATTTGTCTTTGGATAATTGATCATCAAAAGCATAAAGATAACATCTTTAAGGGCAATATGTCTTAGGCATTAAGTGTTTGACCCACACTTCTCATGCAAATACCAATGGTTTTTTGCTTAACTTGGTCCTATGTTTTTCTCTAATTTTGCACTTATCTATAAACAGGCTAAGGCTTTGAATCAATGGTAAAACTGATGCTTTGTATCCCAGGTTCAAAGAAGTCATTCATAAGGTAGAGCTGAAATAGACTGTCTTAAATCCGGAACAGCTGTTGCCAGTTAAAATAGATAATATTACATGAATCTACAGACCCTTCACATCCTGGACATAAACTGTTTCAACTTCTCCCCTCAGGATGCTGCTATAGAGTATTGCATCCAAAATAACTAGACACAGTTTTTTTCCTCATACCATCACTTGCTGAACACACAATTCCCACAGCACTGTCTTACATCTAAGAATATTTACCCAAGTAATAGGGCTTTATTACTATTATCCTTCTCATCTTCCCTATTATCTTCTACTATTGATATCATATGATTATATTACTTTGTTTGTATGTACACTGAGAGCTTATGCACCAGAGACAAATTCCTTGGGTGTCCAATTACACTTGGCCAATAAAGAATATTGTATATTGTATGATTAAAAGTTACTGTATTAACCAACATGCTTTGTATATCCCAACAAACATTTAAATATTAAATATATTCTTTATCCATTCTTTGCTTTGGTAACATTGTATATTAATTTACTTAAACTCTAATTTTAGAAAGCCAGCTTAGTATATGATTGAGGCAACAGGCTACCACACACAACACAAACACAAGGAAACAGGAAACTTGTAACTTTCCCTGTTGGCCTCCTCACTATGTTTGTGGAAAACTGGCAGGGCAGGGCAAGAAAAACAGACCTGTTTTTTTAATATCAAAAAGCCATAAGGAGAAAATTAACATAGTAAAGGGTTAAAGAGAAATGTAGTGGAAAAATGGAATTGTCCTTTCCATGTTTACAGGGTGGAGATTTCAAATAAATTCTGAAGTCTTTTAGTCCATTATAATCGTTTGATTAATATTCTGGGATAAACTAGAATATATCCTGTAGCTGTATGTGATACAAACGTAATCTTTAAGATACCCAAGAATTACTTCACAATACTGCCAAAATGGATTGACCTTCTGGTCATATTCATTTATAACCGATGTCATAACTTAAATCTCTCTGTATGATATGCTCCTGAATCTTCTATTTTTGTTTTTTTTAAACAAAGTTTATTTTATGTTCTAGTTTAATGTTGCTTTCAAATGCAAATAAGTAATTGCATTTAAATAAAAACAGAGATGGCCATCTATCAGAGATCTTCCAGTTAATCTTGCAGTTCTATGACTTATGACAACTACTTTAGTATCTAATTCTATTTCTATAGTCATTCAGAAGAATCCAGAGCTAGAACTTCATTGATTTTTTTTCACTGACAGCCAGCTAGATAATAAAGATGAGCTTTGCCAGTTTGGGGAAAGTAATTACAAAGAATAATATACTTCTTCATTAATAAAAGAACTTTAAACTTATACTGTAGATGTAGGCTGCTATGATAGTATCCTATACTACCTTCACTTGATGGAAATTGCTCTTTTGTTCTAGTTCTACCCTCTACCTCCACCTTCTCTCTAGTCTAGAGCTTCGAACGAGAATCTAGGGAGACATGGAACTAGTCCTATCTTTCAAGTACTAGTTTGGCGTCCATGGATGCATTTTGATGGTCTTCTGCCTGTCTATCCTATATAATGGCTGTGACAGTCCTTACCCTATACCAGTGATGGTGAACCTTTTAGAGATCGAGTGCCCCAAAACTACCCCTCACCTACTTCACCTTCCGCCCCGTCCGCCCTCAGGGCCACCCGCCTCTGTGGTCTGCTGCAGATTGCCTAGGCAGCCCTGCAGCACCATGGTGGCTACGCCCTCCACCCGTGCCCTGCAGCATCATCTGCACGCGATGGGGCATGAGGACAGAGTCTTGTCCCTGCTGCCCAGCTGCCATGTTCTTGGATGCGCTGCTCTGCATGGACCCCATCCGGGGGCAACTCTCCTCCGGGGGGGCTGCTGGTGAGGAGGAGGCCGAAGGGGGGGGGAGGCAGGGCTGGGGCGACAGCATGTGTGCCCACAGAGAGAGCTCTAAGTGCTGCCTCTGGCATGCATGCCATAGGTTTGCCACCACTGCCCTATATGTTGTAGATAACTCCTGTTTTTTCTTCTTGGGCTAATGTGTCTTTTGGTTTAAAGGAGGTAACATCAGAACTTTAAAGCTGAGTTGCAAGTCCCTTTTCTGGGGTCCAATGGTTGCTAGGTGATTGGTTCTATGTCAAGTTCTACCTATATTCTTTTAAAAATACAGTCACCTAAAACAAATATTACACCACAATAAATACCTGTGACCTTTAAAGGACAAGGGCCTGTTTTTGCAGCAGGAAACTTTATTTTCCTTTTTGTATTTTTACAACCCACAGAAAATTTAGTGGTAAAGCTGTGTTATTTTTGTTCCTTTTTGGAACACATTCTGAGATGCAAAGTAGAAATGCAATACTGTAAAAATGTCTTAAAAATTACAAAACAATCAGAGCAACTCATTCTGGACGTCATATGTAGGCACCCAAGATCATAATTGATGAAATATAGATTAGAACTTTCTTATAAAAGCCAAACTTTCTTTGAGAGAGCCAGGTGTACCTCATGTAGAACATTTCATAAAGTGGGAGTCTCAGCAGAAAACTCTCCAGTATTTTGAAACTAAGAAGAGATCTCCTCCAATACTAGTCTATACCTTTTCCCCATCCCCAATAACCTGTATTTGAATTACTACTAATCAATACTGAAAGGTTCGTTTTCATTTTATTTATTTTACAATGCATGTAGTCTGCTTCAATCAGATTTAACTCTAAGGCTCTGATTTAATCAACTGAAGAATTAAATTGGACAAGGCAAACAAAATTATCTACAACTTTAGTGTGTTTGTATTTACCTATGAGCTGAACCAAACGTTTAAGGACAAGTATGCTTTCTGATAGTAGCTTTCCTCAGTAGAATTAGGCCAGTGTACTTTTTGGCTTAATTCCATCTACTTTGTAGTAGCAATCAATGCTCAGCAGCAAGTGGCTAATGATTTTGGGAGTAAAAGAGTGAATGCCATTGCAAAATGTCTCCATGATGAATACCTATCTTCTTTCCATTGGTTCCTCTTCTCTGGCTCTACATTTTCATTTGCATTCTTCTATTATACAGCTTTTCTTATTTTTTTGCATCCAATATTTGAAGTCACTAAATATCCGTATTATCAGATTGGAAAAATCCCAAGTAACTAAAACCAGTATACGTTTTCCTCTCAATCACGAAAGCATCCTTCATACTATTTGCATTTTTTGTTTTGCAAAAAAAAACAAAAAAAAAAAACCTATTAAATTCACATTCTGATCATATTTAACATAACCATGGGAGAAGACATGAGGAAAAAAAGATCAATATGTAGATAACATGAACAAGTATCTGATGTCTTAAGGAAATTTCTTGCAGATGTGAGCTTAAGTGAATGAAAAGCAGTCTTGTTTACACATAACTTCTTCACTTACACTGAACATGAAGGGCTGAGTTAGAACTCACTGATAAAATGCAGATTATACATATAAACATCAGTTTCTGGAATCTTCTGCAAAGACGATCCCATCTGGTAAATTGGAAAGGAACCCTGAAGGCTTAGAAAGACTGCACACAGAGGAGTGAACATACAGTTTTCAGATATCTTGCATGTGAATTTCTCCAAATTTTGATCTTTTAAGTACAATACTGCGTGTAATGTGGTGTTGTATGATCCAGTTGTAAGGAATATAATACATATTCTTTTGGGTAAGAATCGATAGAGCATATGTGTTTTCTTGGGAATACCAGTGAATAGTTCTGCCAATGCTGAAGGCAGTTGGATAAAATGAAACTGTTGAATTTAATTTCCATCAGCCTCAGCTGCTTTAAATGTATGATTTCCCCTTGCAAAGAACAACAAAGCAGCAAAGACTACACATACAATAGCAGAGGTTGCAAACCTTGTTTCTCAATCCACAAAAATGTGATCTAAAAATATCATGACACCCTTCAGAATTTGACATCTCATTCAATTTAAGCTTACTGCACTGCAAGTAGAGAAGAGGCCAATGGAATATGGATAATACTTGATCTATGACCATTTGTTCAACAACAGTTTGAACCTGGGATGGTGCTGAATGATGGTTAGAGTGATTCCCTAAGTTCTGGATGTTCCAGCATCCCCATGGTCACATGATCATATTCTGGGAACTTGGCAATTAGTTTGCACTTATAATCAGTTGCAATATCTATCACATGATCATTGTTTGTAACCTTCCCTACTGGCTTCTCCAGAAAGACAACGGAAAGCCCATAAGAAAAGCCACAAGTCATTGTGCTAAGTCTCTCCCACTTACACACTCTTCCCCAGCCCCTTGCACTCGTGCAGTACTGGTCATTCATGCACACCCATGTACCATCCATAACCCATGCTGCAATCTTCCCAATCTGTACTGCAACATGATGCATACCAGAACCCCCAACCTTCCTGACCTTTGGACACCCTCCACAGCCATTGCTGCTTCTTGCATCCTCCCCAAGCTGCACCATATTTTCTTGCACCTTTCCTAATCCATGTGTGTCTCATGCACTGTTCATGACTACACTGTACCTTCCCCAAATAGTGCTTGTTTACCTTCGCTCCCTCCCCAACCTTTGCCATACACTCAGTATTCCCCTACTTGTCCCTTTCCTAACTTATGCCATACAATTCCCAATCAGTGCCTCTTGCACCCACCTTTGTCCCACCTCTGCCATCTCCCACAGTCCCCAACCTGTGCTTCCCTCACTTCTTCCCCCATCTTGTGGCAGCCGCTTACTTCCCTTCTGGCCTGGGTGTTGCAATTTCCTGTCAACTTTCCCACTGACCTTGGTTATGGGAAACCAGCAGGAGTTTCCTTGTTTAACGACTGCAAGATTCAGTTAACAATGGTAACCAGGATTGCAGGGATTGCCATTCCTAAGTGATGTGGCCATGATTTAAAAATGCATACCTTAGCAATGCAAATTCTGTTCCCAACTGCCATCCTACATTGAGGGCTAACTATGAAGTAATAGAATGAAAACAGAAAAATATTGCATGGGGTGGAGTTCCCTTGCCCTTTAAATTATTATTTAAATTATACATTATGAGTTACGCATTGTGAACCATGATGCATATTGAGTCCAATGATAAGTCTTATGGAGAACCAAGACTAATCAGGTTTTATTAAAACCAGTCACTAGACCTACAGTAGCAGTATATGTAGTTTTACTGACAATCAGTGTTAGGATATAAAACCGTAATCAAAGAATATCAGACAAAAAAAAAACAAACCCAACACCAGAATAATAGCCAGGGATGAAAGTCAAACCACAGGGCAATGCACAGCTGCATAATTGGACAAAAGGGTCAAAGTTGAGACTAAGAACTGGAACATAGCACTAACTCAGAAAGTGAGTCATAAGCCCAGACAAAAGAGTTGCATAAATGTATCAATAGTTGTATCTATAGATTGGAAGACATAGTATTTTAAAGCATAATCTTAATTTCTGGGAAGAAAAAACACTGCTGAAACCTAGCTATTAATACTTAATGAAGATTCTTTTAGAATATATTTTATATATCAAAATCTCCCATTAGTACTTGTGTTTCTGTCCAAAAGCACACAATGAAATGCATGAATTGTGTACTATTGTGCTTTGGATATTTGTTCAAATTGCTATGTATCTTTCAGATAAATGCAAAATAAAAGCATGTCAGAAAATCAAAGTACACTTTGGCATTGATATCTTTACTAGACAGAACCAAGTCATTTCATACACTTTAAAAAGAAGGGCAAGGAACACTGAGTTTATATCAAGACTTGGGCGGGACGGTGGCTCAGCAATTAAGACACTGGGCTTGTTGGCTGGAAAAGCCAACAGCCAGGGTTTGAGATCCAAGCGCTGCATGACGGGGTGAGCTTCTGTCCTCGCCCCAGCTCCTGCCAACCTAGCAGTTCAAAAGCATGCAAGTAGATAAATAGGTACCACTTCAGTGGGAAGGTAACAGCCGTCCACAACAGCATGCTGGCCACATGCGTGGAAATGTCTTCAGACAGCACTGGCTCAAAGGCCTTGAAACAGAGATGAGCACGATCCCCTAGTGTCGGCAATTAGTAATGGAGTAAAATCCGCAGGGACTCCTTTACCTTTTTTTATACCAATACTTCCACCTGCATATCAGAACTTCCCATATTCTCTCTTAATCCAACAATACAACAATACCATACGCTGGCCTAGAAACCAAGAGATTATGAGTTCTAGGTCTCCATTAGGAATGAAAGCTGGCTAGGTGAATTGGACCAATTGCTCTCTCTCAGCCCAACTAACCTTACACAGTTGTTGCTGTATGAAAAATAGGAAGCAGCAGTGTTAGGTATGTTTGCTGCTTTGAGTTATATATAAAATAACTTCTGGTTTTTTATACATAAAAAAGTCTAAGCCCCTTTATCTGGAGGGACTTTGAACCATTTGATCCAGAAGAAGTGGAAAGACTCCTCATGATTGTGAGCTCAGCTACCTGTGTTCTGGACCCATGCCTTCTGGTTACTTAAGGCCTCCTGGGAGGTAGCACTTGGCTTGGTCCACATGCTTTTAATGCCTCTTTATGGGAAGAGATACTACTGCCTACCTTGAAGAAGGCAGTAGTGTACCTCCTTTGCAAGATGTCATCCTTGGATCCAATAGTGTTAGTAAATGTTCATCTAATCTCCAACCTTTTCTTTATAGGGAAGGTTGTGGACATTGGTAATTGGTGCTCAACTACAAAAGGACCTGGATGAAACAGATTATCTGGATCCTTTTCTGCCTGGGTTCAGACCAGATCGCAGCACTGAAACAGCATTGGACATGCTTGTAGATGAGCTTTAGAGCTCATCTACAAGACTTGATACAACCACTCTGGCCTTCCTGGACTTTCAGGGGTTGGGAGCGAAAGGCACTTTTTGTAGGGGTTTCAGGACTTGGATCTTCTGCTTTTCCTTTTCAACATATACACAAAATTGTTGGAGAAGCTCAGTATGCTGACGATACATCATTCCTTGCCAGGCAGGTGATGCTGTCGGGAATGCTGGCTAAGTACCTGGAGACAGAGTGGCCTCTGAATCTTTGGCTTCCCACACCTGGGTAATATGTTGTCTATTGACTCTGAACTGGGTGGCACTATTCCAGACTAAGTGCAATTTGTGAATCCACTTAGACTATGATTCCTAAGCAGGTGGCAGGTGTAGCTAGGCAGATCACCTTGTGTTCTAACTATGCCTTTACTAGAGTGGGGTTCCTTGCTTACAGTAACTCAAGCCTTGTTCATGTCCTATCTGGATTGCTGCAATGTGTTCTATATGGGGCTGGCTTTGAAAACCACTCTAAAGTAATAACTGGTCCAGAATATTGCAGCATGAAGTGATGGGTGTTTAATTCAGGTTTAATTCACTAGGCAATTTTATCAAAGCAATTTTAATGATGTAGAATTAAATTGGAACCTTGCAATTCTATGTTACAAGTTACAACCACTGAATTCAATAGAGCTTACTTCTACCAGAAGAGTATTGCACTATAATATTATCTTACCTATAAATAATTCTAATGCAGTAGGTAGGCTCTACTTCTAAATAACTCTTTTTTAGTATATGAACTTTTTTTTAAGCAAAAACTGTTCTACAAAAAAAATTCTAGAAAATGTTATGGCATTAGCTAATATACAGCTATTCAAGACATTTACATAGTTGTGGTTAGTTTTATTACATGCATGTTCACCTGATATTTATAACTGCTGCTGGATAGTTGAGATTTTGTTATCTCAATTTAATTCTCAGTCATTTTGCTTTCAGTAAACTAAGAATCTTGTCAAATGGGATACCATAAATCCCCCCAAAAATGTAAACTGAAGGATTCTTAAAATAACCATAAAATTTATCTAATGTCACCCAGTAGAGTTCCAATGTAAGTTTTCCTTATACTGTTCCTCCTGCAACTTCATTATTTCCCCAAAAATAAAAAAGTGGATTTTTTTAAGGGAGTAGGGGGAGAAGCATTGAAAGGCAGTGTTAGAATTCCAGCTGCCAGAGGTGCTGACACCCATTGAAAGACATACTTAGAAGTAACTTAATATTTACAGACAATTTTGACTTTCAGTTTTCTATTGAAAAAATGTATTAAATAATAAGGAAAAAAAAACTCCCCAAAAGGAAAAAAGCATATATAAATTCTTGGAAAGTACTCTTCATTATGTTTTCTGGCTAGTTGAACCTGAAAAAAAAACCCCTACTATATTTTCTTAGTTTTATTATGTTGTAGTACAAATTAGTCCAGTTCATATTTGTTCAGAAAATCCCACATGATCAATGAAATTTACTCATAATAAGTAATTAATAAGCCAATAATTGTATTTAGACTTTATTCTTGTGCAATAGATATATTTCTGAACTTCAGTTTAAAGGAACTAATCATATTAAGAAACAAGTGTTTCAAATATGACAAAAGTGAAGTATGCATACAACTGCAGTGTCATTCCTACTTCACATAAAAATATTTACAAGATTCCTTGCTTCTTGCCTCTATCTTATATAAAGTTTTGTGGCAATATAAATGCAATACAGGTCAGATTTAATCTAATAAGCTCATAGCAAATTAAGTTAGCTCAATGGTGATCTATACAATAGTGTTTTCCTCTGATACTAATGACATTATCACTAAACAATTAGTACAGCAAAAAGGTTACCTTCCAACTTTTTCCAAAATGGCTTACCAAATTTTATAATAGGTATTCCCTTACTTTACTATTTTTACAAGTAAAGTGGACTATTTATACCATTATAGAACTTATACTGCTGATATTTCTCCCAATTACATTGATAAATACATATGATACTAATTCTTGGGCCATTTTGTTTTTGTATTATTATTATTATTATATCAGAATCCTGGAATCAGAGATTGCAATACAAGTTTCTTATGGATACCTATTTAATATGAAAAAATATAAAAAGAAGAAATAATCTTAGTAGTATTATATTACAGGAAAGAGAAGCATATTATAAATGGTATATTTTCATACAAACATTAATACACCATACAGAGATACATTTAATCTACTTTGGACATTAAAATTCTTTTTTTACAAAAGTATGTCAAATATTTATTTTCAAAAGATAAAACAATTCTTTTTAAAAGATAAAGCAAATTGTTTTTAGCAAAATCATAACATCAGATATTTCTGTGGTCAACTATGATTGTTTGAAACATGTAATGTACTGGATACTGACATGCAATTTAGTTTTGTTTTTTTTTAAATAATCTTGTTGCATGTTTTAATGCATATACTGAAAAAAAATCTTCTTCTTCAAAAAAACCCCCTAATTTTAGAAGGTAGGCTGCAAGTTTCCATTCCTGAAAATGAAAAATTTACTCACAAGGACTTTTCAAGTGCATTATTCATTGCATGGCACATTCCCAAAATCTCAATACATGCATTTTAAATATTGTGTCTATGGAGATATGTTAAAAGAATATGCCAATTTAATTTTTTTTAAACAATTAGAACATTCTTACCATTCTTGCACTCTTTTAAGACTCAGAAATTCACTGTCAGCAAAATGAAAATTTTCTGCAAAAGATTGAAAGAAGAAAGAAAAACTCAATCATGCCACCAAATAGGAGGCAACTTGCCCAAAACTTAAGAAAGCAAATAACCTAATAGTTAAGAAAAAATTCTTGTAAAATCCTTTGCTCACATATCCTTTCTCTGTCCTGATCCCTTAGTCTGAACTGTATACTGGATATTCCACAGGTTTAAACATAGCACAAAGGAGTTCAGATCTGCAAAAATAACCCCTCCAACCCAAAATAAATATATTATACCGTAGTTAGCATATTAGAGCCACACTTCTTTGAAATGCAGTATGGATTTAGAGTATATCTACTTGAAAAAAACAGAGAAGACAAAAATAGTGCTTTCTGTGTCAGCTGCATAGCTTCTCCATTGTTCTCAGACATACTACCAGCTGTCTTCCCCCTCATTGAAGATTGCAGGATTACAGTCACACTTTCAAAACGTAATAGCCTAGAGAGGGGATATTTTTGGAAATGCATTACATAACCTACCTCAATCACTAGATACATGCTTACACCTTTTCTCTGAGAAGACTATGAACAACAAAAAATTTGCCTCAGAATTCATTAAATTTGCTGCAAAATAATCAGCTGATTTACAGTTTGCAGAATACAGTTACATTAACCTCAAAGTGATTTTCCTTTAAAAAGTCACATGCAGTCTGAAACTTCTATTTTATCATATGTAGTTTTTATTAAGCAAAAATCTAGGCGGCTTTGAGCAAATGAACATAAGATTGGTGGGTTTTATTAAAAGAAAGGGTAGAGGAAATTGTATACCAAATGTGTTTCCATTAAAAATCATATTTAATCTGAACATAATTCATGGAATCTGCACTAAAAATGCATAATTTTAAAAAAGAAGTCATTTCAGACTTCACTGCTGAACATTCAAATTTGTAGAAAGCTGTTGCAGGAAGAATGCCTGTTTCTAAAAATATACCCAAGGCAACCATTACTATCCAAGCTTCTAAATCCTCCCTTTGCATAGAAAGGCAAAGAGTTAAATCTATGTATGTTGCATTGTCCCCTACTTTACACAGCCTTCTGTGGAACCACGAAGCAAGCAAGAATAAAAAAGGGAAAATCCCAACGATTCCACTAGAGTCCCAATAAAGTAGAGGAGAAATGGTAGAAAGGATATTCCAGAAAGGAAAGGAAACCAGACAAAGAAAAAAAAAAAAACAGGGAAGAAATCTTTTCAAAAGATTCTGCATTGGGGATAAAATGCATATACTTACGACAAATTTCCCCTTCTCACTTTCTCTCCTTTCTACATGATCTGAAATACAAATGTGAGTTTAAAAGGGGCAGCATGCTATAGAAAAGAATTTATATAAGGGGAAAGAGAGAAGGCTGGGTAAGGGGTGTGGGAAGGAATGACTGCACCTTTTTCTGAGTGCAGCCTTGGAAAACGGGGGAGGGGAGAAACGGGGTGGGGGCAGCAGCAAGAGGGGAAAATCTCGCTCTCTTTCAGTCTTTGGTTGTCTATGCTGGTTATATTGAACAATGAGCTAATTCTGATGGTAGCTGGCCCAGCGCCAAGCTCTCCCTTGCTCTCTAGAGCGCGCGAGCGCGCGCCCTTGTACACACCCTCCCCCTTCGCTGCTGCAGAGCCAGACTGCTTAGTCTGCAATAATCTGTAGCAAGAAGTAACCCCCCCCCTCCTTTCCTCCTCCTCCAGTCTAGCAGTCCTAGAACCACCCGACCAATCGCTAAGCACGGACCAGGGAATGCTGGAAACCCAACAGCAGGGCTGGGTTGGCAGAAAGGGGAAGATCTCGAGCTAGCTCGCTTCCCCTCCCTTCTAACTACTGTGTCAGAGGCCCAGAACTACCTCTCTGCCCGAGTCCAAGGCTGGGTCAAAAAAGAGCACCCATTGGTGAACTTCGCTGTCGATCAGCCCTCTAACTCCCCCGCCCCTACCCTTTCGCCGCCGCCACAGCCGCTGCTTTCCAGACAAATAATAAAGAGCAGAGCTGGCCGGAGGACTGCCAAGCATCAAGCACGGCCAAAGAGCTGCACAGCCACGGCTCGGTGCCAAACCTGAGCTGGAGGGGTGCGGGGAGAAGGGGAAAGAGGCGGAGGAGCGTGGCCACATACTGTAATAATAAAGCGGCGGCGGCAGAGGGCATCTGAGGAGACCGGGAGAGAGCCGGTGTGTTGCTGCCTTGACTGTTTCTCTGCCTGATATAAAGGGGGGAAAATGGTGCCGAAGTCTGCAAGCCAGGGGCGGGAGAGCGGGCGGAGCGGAGGAGATTCGGCGCACTCACCCAGAAACACCGGATCGCGAAAGGGAGACGAGCGGATAGGAAAGGGGGCGCATAGACCCTCACAGGGGAGGGGGGAAGACAACGCGCATGAACAAATTTCACGGGGGGTTGCATGCAGGCTAGATTCGCGCGAGTTTTGGAGGAGGGGGATTACTAATTTCTTTCAACTTCAGTTGGTTGAACAAGCCACGGTGGCTGGATTCCCATAAAGTAGCCATAAATCAGGTTGGGTAAAGGCTTTGTTCACATAGCGTCCTCAAGTAAAGCCCAATAACATTTTTTTATTGTCCAGTGAGAAGTATAAACCAAGTTGTAGACTTGGTTAAGACTGACATACATCCAGTTGCCTTCACCCGGGAAAAATGATCAAGAATCACGAGCATAGGTTTTCCAAGAGGTGAAGGAAGCATCAAACACCTTGCAGAACAAAGGGCTGCCAAGAACTGAGGCAAATTTAAAGATGACTACACTATGCAACAGTTTAGTTTGCTATTTCAAGAGTTGACAGTTTTACCATAGTTTGTGTATGTGCAGTACACTTTTGTGTTCTGTTGGTATTGCCAGATAAATTATATTTTTGTGATGTCCTACTGGGATTTACATGTCAAGAGCAACTATCTTTTAGATTAAAAAATAACTATTTATTAAATTTATATACCACCCATCCAAAATGACTGGGTGGCTTACAATACAATAAAAGCACAAATATAAAAGCATTAAAATTAACAGGAATTAGATAAAACTAGAGACAAGTACAGGAGATGTACAAAGGTGAGATCTCCCTTATTCCACCAGTCACCTCTAGCATAAAGCATCCTGTAATTAAAGGATACTGTCTTTAAAATGTGTCTTTTATTGTGCAATTGCCTTGCCATGTTCAGGGAATTTCATAGGTGGTGTGCAAAGATGTCTCTCAATTTTAAACTTGTGTGTGAATTCCCACTGCCCCCCCCCTGCAGAAGCTATTAAAAAGAAAGAAGAAACATAATATGTGGGGTTTTTTTAAAATCTGAAAGATAGTTAGGGGAAGAGTGACTAGTAGCCTTTGGAAGAATCCAAAGATAATAAAAGAAGAGGAGAAATGGTAAAAATATGTACTATATAATACATACGTCTCTAGAGAATGCAATTCTCCAGAAAAAGATAGTGAAATTATAATCAAGTTTCCTTGAGATATGCTATCAAAATCTGAATATGAGCTTTCTACTTGAAAGCCGTTATGGTCAGTATTTAAATTAGATACAGATGAATATTTGAAAATACTTGTGCTGCAGTATATCCACTGTGATAGTTTCAAAATAAAGTTATTTATAGTTTTAAGAGTTTATGATTGAGAATGCACTTCCTATACCTGAAGATTCTCAACTAGTAAAAGTCACATACAGGTAATCCTCAATTTATGATCACAATTGAGCCCAAATATCTGTTGCAGCTGTTAAGTGAGTTTTGCCCCATTTTTTTACCTTTATTCCCAAAATTGTGAAGCAAATCACTGCAGTTGTTAAGTAAATTTAGCTGCTCCCATTGACTTTGCTTATGGAAAATCAGCTGAGAAGATTACAGATGGGGATCACATGCCCCTGGGACAGCACATCTGTCATAAATAGTGCTCAAATTTTTATCACTTGATCATGCAGATGCTGCAACTCTTGTAAGTGTGAAAACCATTCATAACTCACTTTTTCTAGTGCCGTTGTAACTATGAATGGTCATCAAATAAATTGTAAGTCAAGCATGACCGGTATACACAGAGATATAAAATATACATTTAAATGAGTCAAAAGGTCATGAAATGCCTAAGAGAATCTGATCTATCTGTCCATGATTGATTGATCATGTGCCATCAAATTGTTGAGTTTCATCAAACACAGTTAGATTTTCTCCATAATGATCAGTCCCTAACCTTTCAAATCTCCCAATGGTGCACTGATTGCTGCTATTACCGAATCTATCCATTTTGCTGCTGGTTGTCTTTTTATTGTCTTTCCTTCCACCTTTCCCAGCATTAGAGCCTTCTCCAGAGAGTTAGCTCTTCACATAATCTGTCTGGAGTAGGATAATTTGGGCCTGGTCATTTGTGCCTCTAATGAAAACTCTAGGTTGAATCCTCTCTATTATCATCAGCCTCTACAAAGCTCAAACTCACACACAATGAGCATTTGGATCATTCACAAGTACACGTAGTCTTCGACTTATGATCACAACTGAGCCCAAAATTTTTGTTGCTGAGACATTTGTTAAATGAGTTTTCCCCCATTTTATAACCTTTCTTGCCACAGTTAAGAGATTCGCTGTATTTGTTAAATTAGTAACATGGTTGTAGTGAATATGACTTCCCCATTGACTTTGCTTGCAAAAGGTGATCATATGACCCTGAGACACTGCAACCATCATAAATAGGAGTCAGTTGCAAGCATCTGAATTTGATCACATGACCATGGGGATGCTATAATAGTTGTAAATGTGAAAAATGATCATAAGTCACTTTTTTAATGATGTTATAACTCCGAAAGGTCACTAAACAAACTGTTGTAAGTCAAGGACTACATATATACAAATTGAAAAAAATCTCTCTAGAATTTTATGCAGTTCACAACAATAATAGTTAAAACATTGTTCTAAATACTTTGCAACACAAAACTAGAACACAATATAATGTCCAAACTTTTATACATTTATAAAAGCTAAAGAGTAAGAACCAATCTATATGAATATTTTGAAAAGTAGAGTAATATTTTGAAAAGTAAAGTAGCAGCAAAAGAAGATATGGAATATTTTACACCGAACTACAATTATTCCAGAAAATAATTTTATACCAAAAGCCACTGAAGTTCACCACAAGGGACATAAGTATATAACACGAAGGCTCATTATTCTTAATCATGATCTGTAGATAACTTTAAAAGATGGAATATCATAAGTGTCTATTTACAGATAGAAGGCACCACCAAAATAGGTTTAAAATTTCATAAATCCCCCTTCCTCTTTACATCTCTATATTACTGGCCAGGGCAGTTTGGAATCTCACAGCTGGTCTCAAAGATAACAATAACAACAATAATAATAAAGTTGGAAGGGGCCTTGTAGATCTTGTCCACGGATCAGCAACCCCTGGCTTCAGAGCCGCAGGCGGCTCTTTGAGCCATCCCCTGCGGCTCTGGAGCCTCCCCCTCTCCTCAGAGAAAGACAAGGAAAGAGAGAGGCACTTTCTCTCTCTCTCTCTCTCTCATGTGGACTTGCCCCCTCACAGGGCTCCTGATTGGCTCTGCGCCTGGGTGCCCCACCCCCTGGGAGAAGGGCAGCCAGGAAGTCCCTTTCCCGGGCTGGCCCCATCTGAGGCGCATGTGGATGGGGAGCCCTGCGGGGAAGCCCCAAGATCCCCTCTGAGAGCGGCCCACCCGAGCCTCCACTGAGCGAGCCAGCCCTTAACACAAAGTGCAGCCCCGAGGGAGAGCAGCCCCTCTGATGCCCAGCCGGTGTGACCGTTGGCCAAGCAGCAGCAGAGCCGGAGACAGAGGGTCAGTGGTGGGGGGAGGGGGGTCTGAGTCCAGGGAATACTGCCGCGAAGCGGCCGCAGGGCAGGTGGCGCCCTCCTAGCTTACTTGTTCCAGGTGGCAGTCTCAGCTGGGGCATCACTTCCTAGGTGGCCCCAGGCCGCTTCCTGGGCAGCTGAGCCAGCCACATGTCGCCCCGGGCAGGGCGGCAGTCATGGCTGGTGTGGCAGCCAGTGAGGGCATCGCACCCTGGGAAGCCAAGCCGGCCATATGTCTCCCCAGGCCGGGCTGGGCAGCAGTCATGGCTGGGCCGGTGGCCGGCGGGTGCAGCACTCCATGGAAAGCCGAGCTGGCCACGTGTCTCCCCAAGCTGGGCGGCAGTCAGGGCTAGGCTGGCAGCCAGCGGGGGCAGCGCTCCCTGGAAAGCCGAGCCGGCCACGTGTCTCCCCAGGCCGAGCCGGGCGGTAGTCATGGCTGGGCCGGCGGCTGGCGGGGGCAGCACTCCCCAGGAAGCTGAGCCGGCCACATGTCTCCCCAGGCCGGGCGGGGTGGCAGTCAGGCATGAAGCTCGCCTGGCTGCCACAGGGCTCTCCACCACCCAGCCCCATTGGTGACACCTTCCTCAGCCGCTTTCGGGCAGCCGCCGCCACTGCCGCCCTCGGTGCTGCAGGAGGAGACCTCGGGCTGTGAGGCCAGCAGGGCTGGCGGCGATCGGGATGACCCCTCATCCCCACGGCGGCACTCCCTGTTGGTGCCACAGCTGCCCATGGTGCACCCGGCCTTGGCGCCCTCCTCTTGCAATGGTGAAGTGGCTGAGGATGCGGCGGGGGCGGCAGCTGGGAGCTGCTGCCTCCCGTCCTGCTCCCCTCCTCATCTGTTTAGCTG